TTGAGTCTGTGGCTTTGTGTGTGACCTCACTCTGTGTGTGTGTGCGCGCGCGCACGCGTGTGTGTTCTCTCCCTCCTATCGGTGCCCGAGAAGCTATGCTGCGGGTCTGCGGCTGTGTGTGTGTGTGTAGGGCCTGTGGAACCTGTGGGGCCGGAGCGCTGTGGACCCGTTCCCGTCTCCATCCTGAAGTGGGGCATTTATATATGTATATACACGCTCCCATCCCGGCTTTGTGCTGCTCTGCAATTAACCAGTACCATTTAATCTAGTTTGAAAGGTGGTCCTATCGGTTACCCACCCTTAACCTTTTGCCTTAAAGAAACAAAAACAAAATCCATGAGCCTGCCTCCAGAAAGGAATAGGGATGGCCCAAAGTACAAACTATATTTTACAAGTTGGTAAAATAGAAAAAGGAAAGCCCTGGGATATTGCAGTTGTCCCCTGGCTCCACCTAAAAGTGCCGAATGGCATTAAAAATGAAAGTGAGGCCAAATTTTGTCAGAGGAAAACTTCGTGCTGTACTTTGAAGTATTGGAGGCCTGTGCCAGGTAATAGGCAGGGGAGATTCCCAAGCTGGGGAAGTGGTGGGTATCTTGGGGCAGGAGTTTTCCACATCTCTCCCAGTGACTGAGAGGTGGCAGTTCTCAGTCACTCCCTCACTAGTAGTCACCGCGTGTGAATGTAATATATATGTATATATCCCCAACATATGGCCTTGAGGAGGGGTGCCTAATGGGATTCCAGGAGTAGCAGACTCTGGAAGCATGCCTGCTTCTGGTTTGAGAGAAAAGCAGTCTTTTTGTTTGTTTGTTTTTAATTTTCTTGGCCGCACTGGCAGCACATGGGATCTTAGCTCCCCAGGCAGGGATCGAACCTGAGCCCCTCGCATTCGAAGCTCGGCGTCTTAACCACTGGCCCACCAGAGACGTCCTGAGAGAAGAGCAGTCTTAGCAGAATGTCAAGACCTTGAGTTCTCCCTGAAGAGTTCCTTGCCTTTCCTTGGAGGAAGGGGTTTAAAGTGCCCCTGTGGCCACGTGACTCCTTTTAATGACTGGGTTTGGGGGAAAAGTAATGCTATGGGGAACTACAGGTGTTTCGTTATTACTGGGGCAGAGTTGTATTGACTGGTGGGAGATGAGGCCAGAGCAGACTCTTGAGGCCAGTAGTAGGAACTTTGACGTCAGGCTAAAGGATTCAAGCTCTTAATGGATCCTGGATCCCTGCCCACCCACCCAAATTTGGTTCTGCTTTTTCCTAGGCCCCAGTTCCTCATCATTCCTGTGCTGTGCTGGGCTCATACCCCATCTGGCTTTTTTTTTAGCCCTGGTCCTGCCCTGGCTGCACACTTGCCCATATTGTGACTGGCAAGTATTCCTGAAACTTTTACTTAACTCTGTCCTAATTAAACGCATCAGAAAAGGAGACTTACACATCACAAGTCTGCCACAGCTGAGGCTCTTTACTCTGTCTGGCCTTGTCTTTCTAAAGGACAGAGAAACTGTCAATTTTCTGGCTGTGACTGTATGCATGTGGCTACCTGCATGGCTAGTGCCCTGGGAGCTTGAGGCTCAGTAATCACAGCCTTCAGTCCTATAACCTCTCTGCCTGCCAACTCTCTGCTGCTCAAGAGTTCCTATGAGTAGAGCAGAGCTCAGGAAAATGAGGTGCTGTCTACAGCTACCTTGGCTGTGCAAATAGATGGTTCTAACAGGGACTGGGTAGAGTAATAGACTTACTGGTTTGGGATTTGATCTTTTTTTGAGAGTAAACAGAAAGAACTGCTGGGACTTCCCTGGAGGTGCAGTGGATATGGCTCCGTGCTCCCAATGCAGGGGGCCCGGGTTCGATCCTTGGTCAGGGAACTAGATCCCACATGCATGCCACAACTAAGAGTTCACTTGCCACAACTAAGGAGCCCATGTGCTGCAATTAAGGAGCGCGCCTCCTGCAACTAAGATCCAGTGCAACCAAATAAATATTTTTTAAAAAAGGGACTTCCCTGGTGGTCCAGTGGCTAAGACTCTTTGCTCCCAATGCAGTGGGCCCAGGTTCTGTCCCTCGTCAGAGAACTAAGGTCCCGTATGCCACGTGGCATGGCCAAAAAAAAAAAGAATTAAAGGGCGTCCCTGGTGGCACGGTGGTTGAGAGTTCGCCTGCCGATGCAGGGGACGTGGGTTCGTGCCCCAGTCCGGGAAGATCCCACATGCCACGGAGCGGCTAGGCCCGTGAGCCATGGCCGCTGAGCCTGCGCGTCCGGAGCCTGTGCTCCGCCACAGGAGAGGCCACAACAGTGAGAGGCCCGCGGTCTGCAAAAAAAAAAAAAAAAAAAAAAAAAAAAAAAAGAATTAAATTAAAAATAAATACATGTTAAAAAAAAAAAAAAGAACTCCTGCCAGCTGTCACCCTACATGGGACTGTCAGATTGAACTGATTTGACCTTGCTTTCAGATGTTGGTTAAATTTTCCACTTTCTGATCCTCAAGTACATATCCCCCCCCACCCCCCTTCTAGAAAGATAGGTAGGCTTTAGTCCTTAACAAAGATCGCTCAGCAGGCTAAGTAGTAAATCTTGGGCTGTACCACCTGCTATGGGGAAGCAGCTGAAGTCACCAGTATGGATTCCTGCCCCAAGTTTAACTGATTTGCTTTCAGTAACCTATTCCCTAGGAATGATATCAATTTGATGTGGAGGAGATTTTATTTTTATTTTAAAAATTTTTTTTGTTTTGTTTTTTGTTGCACCACGTAGCTTGTGGGATCTTAGTTCCCTGACCAGGGGTTGAACCTGGGCGCTCGGCAGTGAGAGGGCCAAGTCCTAACCACTGGACCACTGGGGAGTTCCTTGGAGGAGGTTTTAAATTCAGCTTCTGGTTTTGCAGGAATCTCCATGTCCTTGCACCAGTTGGCTGGGGTAGGACAGGGTCAAGGTTTGGGATTTGGCAGGCGGGTTTCCCTGGAGAGTCCAGAATGTGCCTCTGTCACCTACTGTGGGTGCTCACTAGCACACTGATTAGTTCTGGGAAGCTGGCTGATAGGCCCTCTAGACCTTGTCAGTTGCTAACAGGGCTCTCCAGGCCCTAGAGTAGACTCAGCTCTGCTCTGGGCAAGCATGGCCCTGGCTAAGGCCGTGACGTAGAGTAGAGGTTGAGATCGCTGGCAAATGGAACTTTGGGGGAAGTTCTGTTCTAGGGAACTGGCCTGTGCTTAATGCCTGTTGAGAAGGGTCTGGGCCCCTCGGAGACCCTTCCAGGTAGAAGTGGAATAATAGACCCAAACATGATCCTCAGCTCATGTGGTTACGTGCCTGAGTCTTGAAGGCAAAAAATGGGCAAAGAGGCCCTAAGGAGCCAAAGGGCCTGTGGAGTGAAGAGGGAGCCCTTATGGTTGTGCAGCCACATAGATAGCCATTGGGTGACTCACTGGACTTCCTCCTCGGGGTCTGCCTTGGTCTCCTTTCCCCTTGTTGATTCTACCCTTTTTGAGTACATCTCCCAGGACCCCCTTGTAGAGAGAGTCCCTTACCTCTGTCTTTCATGCGTTGACTCAGAAGTTTTCTGATGGAAAGAGCTTCAGAGATCACCTGGTCCTATCTTTGCATTTTTCAGATGAAGAGACATGTCCAGGGAGGGAATGACCCTGAGCCAAGGTCACATACCAGGTCAGGAGCACAACCATGGACAGGGCCCAGGGCTCCTGATTCATAGGCCAGGCTTCTGTTCTCTGCCTCACTCTACTTCAGAGGGTACAGTTTATTACTCATTCGGCAGATGTTCAGGACCTACTACAGGCCCGATACCTGCCTGGCAGTTGGTGTTTAGACCAGGTCGCACATTGAGGGAGCTTGCTGGGGGTGTTGGTGGTCGTGGGAAAGTGGAGAGGGAAAGGCAAGGAAACTAATGTACAGATTGAATCAGTGATCACCAAAAAGGTGCATCCCAGAGAAGGACCCATCTCAAGTGATTTCAGGTGTGACTCTTGTCTTCTCAATTCATGCAGATTCCCTAAAGGCAGCGGCTGTCTCTTCCACAATTTCTTTGCCGGTGCTAGATGTAGTTGGTCCTTGATAATTGTTGCTGATGGAGTATGTTTTGCTGGCCCAGTCTGCCAGAATGTAGGTTTTGATGTGTTCATCAGCCATATTATGAACACTCACTTCTAGCAACATCTGAGGGCCAGAGGAAGAAACTAAGCAGCTAGTCTCATGGGGTGGCCTTTATCCTTTTTATGCTTGTCTCTTCTCGGCCTTGGATTTGTAGGGTGGTGCCTGATCCACAGGGAGGGACAGAGGGGCAAATCTCTCAGCTCCCTGGAGCACCCAAACCCCTTTGTTGCATAGGGTTCTACCCCACAGGCATCCCTGGAACCTACCCTGCTCTGCCACTCTCTTCAGCCAGCCTAGCCCACTGCAGTGGCTCCTTTGTCTGCCCCCTCCAGTTTCTCCACCACCAAGGCCCCCTCCACACTTCTCACCAGCACCATCTTTCTAAAATGAAAACGCACCATAGCCCTCACTGCTCTTGACACTTAGTCCTTGACCTGATTTTGTAGCCTTACCTCCTGCCCGCCCCACTGACCCCCGCTTCCATCACGCTTTAGCCTCACTGCTAAGCTGCTTTCTGTTCCCCAGACCTGCCACCCTCCTTCAGGCCTCTTCACCTCTGCAAGATTGCTCCTTCTTGCAAAGTTATTTCCCTGTTTCTCTGAAAAACTTCCTTGTCCTGCAGGACTCAACCTGAATGTTATTTTTTTGGTCTCTGACTTACTCAGACAGTAACTCCTAGGCAGCACAGCCTCATGGCACTGGCTGCATTACATTGTGACTGACCCACGTGGGGTGAGGGTGTCTGACCTTCTTATCACACTGTGTGCTCCCAGAAGCTGGGACTGTTGACCCCTCAGGAACCCTAGCATCTGGCCCAGGGTCTAATACAGGGTGCTCAATACATTTTGGTTGAATGTATGAATGAAGCAGGCACCCTCTGTTCTGCTTTTAGATCCTAAATCCTGGCAGAGCTTTATGGAGCCCAGTTCTGGCAGGCTCCCAGGACTCGAAGCCACCAGACCGCACATGGAACCCAGGGCCACGTGTTCAGCTGCTGCACCCTTGGTGGAGAGACAGTTCCGTGTTCTTGTCGGTGTCACTGGGAGTGTTGCAGCCCTGAAGTTGCCTCTTCTGGTATCAAGGCTTTTGGACATTCCTGGCGTGAGTACGCTTACTAGACAGCCTCGGGCATTAGAGGGCTGATGCTCTGGGGCCAGCCTGTTTTTGTGCAGTGCACAGGGTTTTCTTTTTCTTAATCACGGTGTTTGTGGAAGTCCTCTTTGTGCATTGGTATGTGGGGGACACGGAGACAGAGACCAGTGTGACAGTATAACCAGGAGCTAGATTAGGTAGTAGACAGAGAGTGAGGGGAGACTGCGAAAGGAACGCTGTGGTGAATGGAGGTTTTGGGTTCCCAAATATTTGCTCTGAATTCCCTGAAGTCCTAGCATGAGAGAAGAGCTGGCTGGAGAAGTGCGGCAAGTTCTCAGCGCCCCCTGGCTGCCTTGTGCTCCCTGCTTCTGCTTTCACTCCATCCTGGACATTGTGGCTCTGTCCTCCCTTCTTGTTAGACACCATGGGTGTCCTGTCAGTCCAAATGCACTGGAACCTTAGGGGCTCCCCGCTGCCCGCAGCTCTGGTTTCAAACTCTGCTCCTTCAGGTGTTCAGAGATGCCCAGGGGCCACCACAGTGTGTTGGAGGTGGGGGGCTTGGCCCCCTGCCTTTGGTCCGATCACCTCAACTTTGATCAGTTTTATATGTAGGGGTTCTGGGGCATATTCTTTTGCGGGAAAAGTTCAAGGCTTTAAAAATGTGAAAGCCAGCTGGTGATAACCCCACTTCTTCGTCTGGTAACCTAGGCCCTTCACTGGTCTGCCACCCTCCCGCCATCCCACGCTCCACCCTGATGGCCTTTGCTTTGGCCCAGCCCCTTCCAGGCTGTGCTGCCCTGCCTACTTTTCCCTGCCTTTTCAAATTCTCTACAAACACTTCATGTAAAAGCCTTCCTGGCCTGCCTCAGCCCATGTGGTTTTGCTCCCTTCCTTTTTTTTTTTTTTTTTTTTTTTTGATTGTTTTATTGTTTTTTGGCTGTGAGGCATGTGGGATCTTAGCTCCCCGACCAGGGATCGAACCTGCACCCCCTGCACTGGAAGGTGAAGTCTTAACCACTGGACCACCAGAGAAGTCCCTGCTCCCTTCCTTTTAAAACTCATTTGATGTATTAAAGAAAAACTAGAAGTAAAGTGGTAAAAACAGGTTTTTTTTTTTTTTTTTTTTGTGGTATGTGGGCCTCTCACTGTCGTGGCCTCTCCCGTTGTGGAGCACAGGCTCCGGACGAGCAGGCTCAACAGCCATGGCTCACGGGCCCAGCCGCTCCACGGCATGTGGGATCCTCCCAGACCGGGGCACGAACCCGTATCCCCTGCATCGGCAGGCAGACTCTCAACCACTGCGCCACCAGGGAAGCCCACTAAAAACAGGTTTTATTCAGAAAAACTATTGCAATAGGGGAAAGTAGATCTCAGTATAGAACTGGGTTTAATTCTGAATACAACAAGGAAAAGTGGAGATTTGTAGCCAAGGAGCTGTGTGTGTGTGTGTGTGTGTGTGTGTGTGTGTGTGTGTGTGTGTGTGTGTGTGTGTGTGTGGGTGTGGATGGAAAATTACTAAGAGGAAACATCAGGGGTAAGGGAGATTTTAGCAAAACTATCCTGAGGGGGATGAGGAGCCTGATGAGATATCCAGGCTGATCAGATATCGAGTATAGGGGATTCTGGCTAAACCAACTTAGCAGGAATCTTGCTCTGGAGGACGAAACCCAAAGACGGGCCTAGTTGAAAAAGTGGCTCCAAGGAGCCTGACCAAAGTTTGGTTAAGAAGAGAATCTTGACCAAGCTGTGGAACCATAGGTTATCTTTTACACTGCCTGTGTTGTCAGACACTAGTTTTGTGGAGTGTTAAGCCGTTGAGGCCCAGGCTCTACTTTTTTCCTTGCTTGATACAAGCATAGCACCTAACTCAGGGTGGCGCAGGTGGGTGTACCCTAAGTGTCCAGCAGGTAGCAGTGCTCACTTGCAGATGACTGTGTCGGGAGTCACAGGCAAGGGCGGGAAAGCTGCTTTTTTTTTTTTTTTTTAACTTTCCACAAACTTATACCCAGAAAGTCACCCCCTCACCCCACCCTCCAGGCAGCCAGGGATGGCAGTCAGGCCAGGATAGGGAAAGGAGGAGAGTGTTGTGGCTGCTCTGAGGCTGGGCACTGGTGCTTTGGGTCAGTAACCACTTCGGCCTGCCCCCTCCTCATGTGCCCAGAACCGTTGGTAGGAGCTGGCCAGCTAGAGCCTAGAGGGCGGGAGGCCTGGAAGCGTTGCTGCAGCAACAGCCTCTGCCACTGCCCTCTGGGGAGGGAGGGAGCCATGCAGTTCCCTTTTCCCATAGCCCCAGAGCAAGTGAATTTCCGGACTTGGGGTAAGTGGGGGCAGGGAGTCCTATCCCAGGAAACAGATGAGCAGCCTCAGAGCAGAGGGAAATGGCAGCTCCACCGCTTCCTGCCATCCCACACAGCCAGCATTTATGCGGGTGTGAGGAAAGGGTTGCCTGAAGCAGGGAGGCTCTCCAGCCTACCCTAGGCCTTTTAGTCCAGCCTCTGTGGGGGACAGGCCACGTGTGGAATGGGACTTGGCTCTGTCTCTGGCTGGAGTTGAAGCTGAAGGTCAGGCAGCCAGAAGGGCACTGACAAGGAGAGAGGACTGCCTGACTTAGCCTCTAGGAGCCTGCCTTTCTCATTTTAAAATAAAGATGATGGCTGCCACCCATCCCCTCGGGAATGTTTGCAAGGCTGGGGGAGGGGGACACAGATGAAACTGCCATCTTGTGCCCACAGCTAGGCGCAGCTCCTGGCACACGGAAGTGCTTAACACTGTTTGTTTCCTGTCCATCCCCCTCTCCTTTTCCCTTGTTGTCGTGTCCTTTGGGGCAGCCACACGTGGTGTGGGGTGTTGGGGTTGGTGAGACGGCCCATGTGGGAAGAGCCATGGAGCCACTGTCCATCCGCTTATGTGGAGGGGCCTGCATCCCTCTCATCCTGTGGGTAGACAGCTCTCCAGAGAGCCTGGATTTGCTCAGTGGAGTCCTTGTGAGGTGTTGGTAACCAAAGGGGGATCCCTGCTTGCCTTGTGTTGGCCCTGGGGGGGTGGCCTTTCCCCTGGCTCTTCCCCACACTCCCTGATGGTACTGATCTCCCCAGTGCCCCCCTCTAGGTCACCTCCAGGAGTAGTCTTTGTCCCTTGGAGCAGTCCTTCTCAGCTCTTTGCCTAAGTCACGGATTCACATGCTTGAGGCTTTGCTGAGCTCCCTTAGGGATCCCTAGATTTTGACTAGCAAACAAGCAGCTGGGATATGGGCGGCAGGGAGCTGGGTGATTCTATAGACCTGGCTCAGGATTACTCCTGATCCACCAGTTGTTCAGGCTTCCCAGGAGGACCATTGACCTGGAGCCAGACCAAGGAGACTATGGGGGAGTGGTGGGGAGGGGTAGATTTAGTTTTCTGCCTCAGTCACCAGCACTTGGAGAGAGTGGCCACCAGCAAAGAAGCCTTGGAGGCTTTGTGTGAGGTGGGAGGAGTTGGACAGTGGGGGCCAGCCCTCCCTCAAAAGAGGCGTTGCACATAGAGGATTTCTCACGCTGGGACTCTGGGCAAGTCAGGTCTTTTATATGGCCTCAGTTTTCTTATCCCTGCAATAAAGTGGGGGCCAGGTACCCAAATGATGCATCTCCAAGGCCTCTTCTGGCATGAGTGGTAGAAGATTCTAGATGTGAGGACAAAAAGCACTAGGACCAAAGGCAGCCTGAGAGAAGGTCCTGGGGTGTAGGAGCTGTGGCTGTTTTGCAGTTCTGTGATCGTCATATAATTGAGTGGCACTTACATCTGAGCAGTTAGCTTAGTCAGTTTCTGCCCTTTGGTTGGTACCCTCCTCACTATGGAGGAGAAAACAGAACACCTCTCTAGCTTTTGCTGGGTAGGTGTCAGCAGGGCTGAGAGCCAGAAGAGGATTTCTAAAAGTGGAAAAAATCTCCCACCCAGGGAGTTGGCAGGCCTTGGCCTTAGAAAAGGCTGTTTCCAGAATGCCTGTGAGGACATTCAGGACTGTTAAGGGTGTAGGAAGAGGGCCCTGCTCATATGCAGAATGAAGTAAATTCTGCTTTTCTGGAGGACTGTTGTGGCAATATCTAGAGAAAGCAAAAATGGTCACAGCCCTTGCTTCACCCATACGATTGAACCCTATAGGGCAGGAGTCCCCAGCTCCCGGGCCATGGACGGATACTGGTCTGCGGCCTGTTAGGAACTGGGCCACACAGCAGGAGGTGAGCGGCGGGTGACTGAGCGAAGCTTCATCTGCCTGCCTCTCCCCATCGCTGGAGTTACTGCCTGAGCCATCCCTCACCCCATCCCGACCCGTGGAAAAATTGTCTTCCATGAAACCAGTCCCTGGTGCCAAAAAAGGTTGGGAACCGCCGCTATAGGGTACAAAAGTTCACCAAATGTACAAGCATGTTCATTTTAGCACTGTTTATAATTTTAAAAGAAAACTGAAACAAACAAAATATCCAACAATAGAGCTGTGGTGCAGTTGTGGTTCAGCCTCTTGATGGATTCGGAGGCAGCAGTTCAGAAGAATGGGTGGATCTTGTGTGCTGATATGAGACAGTCCTCAAGATATAAGTGAAATGAGCAAGGTGCTGAAGTTAGTGAAGTGTGGCCCACAGGCCAAATTCTTGTTGTCTGTTTTTGTATGGCCTGCGAACCATACATATGTAAACTATTTACATTTTTAAATGGTTGAAAAAAATCAAAAGAAGATTATTTTGTGCCATATAAAATTATATAAAATTCAGGTTTCAGTGTCTGTAACATTTTATTGGAACACATCCACACCCATTCATTTAAGTATTGCCTGTGGCTACAGTCTTGCTACTACAGAGTAGAGTAGTTGTGACAAAGCCTAAAATAGTATCTGGCCCTTTATAGGAAAGGTTTGCCAACTACTGGCATATAGTATGATTCCTTTTGTGTGTTCACATATCAAAGTTACTGCCTGTGGTCTTCCCCCTGGAGGTGGTTACCCTTGTGGAGAGATGGGGGCAGGAAGGGAGACTTGC